CACTATAGTGTATGGAAGTGGTCAAAATTAATGTAAGCTTGTAGAACTAGTTAGATTTTACTAATTTGGTAAAGGTAGTCAGAATATTATTTTTTGCATGGACAAAACGATGTACATGCTTTACAGTTAACTATATAGAAAATTAACCAAATAGGATTAGTATATCTAATAAAACAAATCCACTTGCCTATGGCCTAGGCTTACTTCATACCTCTCAAGGATTAAATAAACTAATTTTCTTGAGAATATTTTAATTGAATATAGCTAGATAACCTCTTTTGATCTATTCCATTTACTTGTCCTAGGATAGAGCAAAAATAGTAAATGAAGAATGATGATGGTTTTTTTAATATAGGAATTATATTAATTAAGAACAATAAAATATTCCACAGAAGGTGAAAGAAAGAAACAAATAGCAAAATTAAAATACGAATTATTCGCATCAGGAACTAGAAACAAGGTGAGATGGTGAGAGTGACGAGCTTATGTATTTTTTCTGATGTAAGCCCTGAAAATATATGAGAGAAATATCTTACTAGTATAATGGATTAAAAAGGGAGGGTACTGAAGGTAGGGGTGTTCGTCGGTCGATATGGTACGGTATTTAGATATTTCGGTTCGGTATTTTCGGTATTCAATTTTTTAAAATGTTATATCAATACTGTACCGAATTAAATTCGGTATAGTTCGGTTTTTTCCTTTCGGTTTCGGTTTATTCGGTTCGATAACTTCGGTTTATTCGGTTTGAATACTAACTAGTGCATAGAATTATAGACTGTAATATTCTTAATTAAAGTGCTCAAAAGTACAAAAGTAAAAATATTTGTTGTCAAAAGTTTTGTCCAAGACCGGAAAATATCAACCCATAGAGAAAACTGTACATAAAGGAATAAATTTGATCATTAGAAATGTCTTGTTACTTGTTTAAAGTTAATTGATAAACTTAGAGAATAAAAGAAAGCAAAATTTTAGATTGTTTATATTTATATTATAATTAATAATATGTGTATTATGTAATATAATATATATTTCGGTACGGTATTGGTATTTCGGTATTTCATTTTAAAATATCAAATATATTCTTTTTAAAACTTAAACCAAATACCATATCGAATACCAAAATTTTCGGTTTCGGTATGGTAATTCGATATTTACCAAATTATACACGGCCCTAACTGAAGGTGTTTGGTCCAAGAAAGTAAATTCCAAACTTTAGAATCAAAGTTACAACATGCAAATGAATATGGCTCAGTGTGTTTGGTATGAAATGTTTTCCAAACAAATACTTCACTAGCAACTGAATACTAAAATATTACCCTTACCGATAGAGCTCACAATTATATATTTCTAAATTAATGATGACCACCGGGTTTTCGGTCTCTCTCCCTTTCTTCACCCTAAGTCGTCCTTTTCCTCCTCTTGTCCAACAAAATCCATAATAATGTTAATTATACCCTTATTGTATAACTAAAAGAAACAGAATTTTCGAGTGTGTAATTCTCCTATTAAGCCTAATATCAAAGCCTTTAGCACCATGTATGTCTATATATTTGAGAAGCTCCTAAAAGAAATTAACCGAACGAGAATAAACTAGTTTACGTTTACTGTTTTTAATTGAGTTTATACGTATTTTTGTCTTCATCTATAACAGGTTATCATTCTTTTTAATTAGCCTTTTAAAGTCCAATATGATTTTCAAACGACTGAAGCCTCTGTATGTCATTGGTCACATTATGTTAAGAGTAAATGGACGAGTTGAATTATGTCTAATATTTCACACTGACTACTATTATCAAATTGACACACATAGAAAGGGACCTTTAATAGAAAATATCCAGTTTTTTTGAAGCATAATAGCCTGTTTGGCCAAAAATATAATTTCTTTTGGGCCAAAAATGCTTTTGAGTAAAAGTAGAAGCGATTTTTGAGAAGCAGAAAACATAGAAATGCTTTTTCGAAAAATACTTTTGAAAAAAATACTCTTAGAAATCTTTTTAAAAAGTTGGTCAAATATTAATTATTATTTAAAAATATTTTTTAAATTAACTAGCTAAACACAAATTATTTCTCAATAAAATTTTGACAATTTAAAAAAAAAATCTTTTTAAAATAAGACGATTTTAGAAGTGCGGTCAAACAAATTATAAAACGTAATTTTGACAAAGCTTGTGCATCAGTACCGGGGGTCGAATAAGATTTAAGTTGATCGGTTAATCAATTTCTTTATTCTTTTTAATTTGATTATTTATTTCCTGGTCAGCAGATTGTGTTCTGGTTCTACGATGTCTTAGCTCGTGTCGTGTGACCAAGGAAAAGAGAAGTGTAGTTTTGTTTTTTAAATTAAAAAAAGGAAGACGCCCTCGTGTTGTTTGTGGCTATTCTATTTATATATTAGGATTATTTATTCATTTAATAATAGGTTTATTTTGCGCGGTTATGTCAGCAAGCAGACATCACTCTATTCCTTTTGCTGAGGTGGGGCGACTATGTTTGGCTTCTAATTGTTAGTACTAGAAAGGTCTATGAAAAAGTAAAAACTATAAACAAATAAAGAGAAGAATCTTCATGTAAAAATTACTCCCATTATATACAAGCAGAAAAAAGAAAAGTAGCTAGGGAAAATCAGAGAGGACTAAAATTTTAAATTTATGGATTCGAGATTCTAATAATTTCAAGCTTCTGAGTTTTGAATTAATATTGTACATTATTAATAAATTTTAAAAGTTAAATATTTGAACCAAAATTACTGGATTCGACCAAAATATTTTGTTATTTTATTTTGTTAGTGGGTAAAAGTCGATGTGTCTATACTATAGTCGAGTTTTTAAGTATTGGTAAAGTTTGAAGTCGAGTATAAAATTAGAGTTTTGGCAAGCGAAGTCAATCGAGTCAATACCCTTGGGATTATGGGACGAGAGTTATTTTTCTATTTACATTTTTGGGAGGAGTGAGACCGTACACGAAGACTTTAATTAAAGGGTAGACTTAAAGTGCACGCTCCATTTTAATTTATGTGAACCTTTTAATTTCTCGAGAGTTAATTTGATTAATTTTTAAACTTAAATTGGATTGGATTAGTTTTACATTTTAAAATTAAAATTTACATATAAAACATATACAAGAAGTACTATAAGTTATAATTCTTTTCATGTCAATGTGATGTTAAAAAACATTTCAAAATTTTTGATCAAAATTTAAATAGTTTGAATTTCGAAAAATATTTTTTTTTTTTTACAAAAACTGACACTGATGGAGTATATTCTTTCTTTAAGGATTGTTAAACCGACCAGCTTTGAGTCTTTATAGAAAATATATTACTAATTGATTTGTTGGCATTGAAAATGAACAATCATAGATTGATTTCACTCTCTTTTTCATTTGAAAATTGTGACTAGTTTAGTGATAATTTTCGCATTTTCTGTACTAGATGTTGAATATATATCCCCCTTTCTCTCTTTGAGTGCTCATCTTGAAGGATAAACCATGAATAATGACCAAATCAATTCCCCTTTTGGTCTTTTTATATTAATATGCAATAGTCTAGGTAGGGCACTGTAATATTTAAGGAGTTTAGTGCGAAATATTAATTTCTTTTGAGATACCCTCACGTTATACCCCTTTATAGTACTACTTAAGAGGGTTCTAGCGTAGGAGAATCCAAGAGTTAGGAAAATGGGTGCACTACGACGAAAATGTGAAAAAACAATAAGATTGATATTAGAAATGAACTCACAACCTTACTTTGCGAGATACACCCGATAATCATTGTATCATATGATACTTCGAGTTACGATGCGCGTGCGCGTACACACGCATATATA